AGTAAATTGGATTACATCGATTTTGTCAACTACGATGGCGGTGGTAAGAGCATTGCAGACTTTTCAGTCTTTCTATACTTCTTAATAGTTTTCCAAAAAAAAAAACCCAGCAAAAAGAGAAACAAAATCATTAAGAAACGTCAGCTGCTTTGGAACACGAAAATATTTGTTCAAGGAAGCAAGGTAGAAACGGTTAAAAGCTATACCTCAATCCAATCGAATGTCATTTTGAATTAGGTTTTTTTATTGCCCACTGAGAACACAGCTTTATAATTGGTGCCGCTTTGAAACTAATTTTAGGTCGTACTCAAGTACTGTCATCGACAAAGTTTGTGCAGCATCCACATGCTCTAGCAGTATTTGAAGATATGATTTACTATAGTGATCGGCGTTTGCAACGACTTCAGCTTTATCCGAAGTATCCAAATGGCACATCAATGGAGTATCCCTCGCATACATTTTCTAAAGCGCTAGGGGTCACTGCTGTACATCCAATCTTGCAACCGCGCAGCGAAAAGAATCCATGTGCTGGTGATCCCTGCTCCGATTTATGCTTAATCGGCAAGCAGATGGTTGGTTTTTCACGAACAAACGCAGCCACAATTGTCACTATATCCAAATCTGATCGTTAAATTGTAGAGCATTTTAAGATACTCTTTTCAGAATGATATCCTCTGAAATTTTATTTTTATCACTTTAAAGAAATATGCTTTAAATTACGCTTCTTTTAATGTATTTGATTTTACCACTAATTAGTAGCTTGATTTTAATCAACTTTTAATCAGCCATTATCATAGAAAATGAAATTTGGAGGAGTTCTGACTTTTCACTTTAATTCGTAGAGATCTATAAAGCAGTTTTTATTGGGAGCATCTCCTATTATCAGCAGCTAGTTTATCTTATAGCAAATATTTTTTTTAGTAATAATTGCTGAGATTTTCCGGTTAAGTGTATTTTAACGAGTCATTACAAAGAAAAGATGAATTAACGCATGAAAAAAAGCGTTAATAAAGCACTATTATTTTAAGTTCGAAACTTCCAGTTATAATTCAGGAGTTATAGCACTTGTCTGAATTGGATTAAAACCATAATTAGGACAGGTGGAGATTTAGGCACAAATTTCAGTCTACTCTCAAAGACCTTTGTCCCGCTTCACATCTTACGTAACTCCGGACTTTATTTATTTTCAAAAGTTCATATGACACAATCGCACCACTGTGTGTTTTTGATTTTTATTAAAAAATTCAGTGATACTCGATGGGTGTTTTGTTTTAGACTTATACGTGCAAATGCCCGATGGGGAAGATTTTGGACGCAGCTGGTAAGAACTGCATTAGTGATATGAAACCATTTTTGATGCTTATCCAGAAAACCAACATCTACGGCTTATCAATGGATGAAGCAGTAAACGGCACACCAGCACTCTCCGGAATGGTGCCTTTGGCTGGTCTCAGCAACACATACGATGCAGCGTATGACCCAGAAACAACAGAGGTGAAATTTTGACATTCCAGTAGAAAACTTGTTTTATTTAGTTTTCATTTTTGTAATTTTTTGCAGTTTTTTGGTTATTTGTAGAAAACACGAAAAGTTGGTGTTAGCATAACAGTTTAGTGAATTTGAGAAAATAGCATAGTTTGTATACTTTTTTCTTGCAGATATTTTATCTAGAGCACGGAACAACTGGGCGCATCGTTGGTCCAAACAGTCTTTCAGAATCACGAATTATGCAAATTTTGCCGGACAGAATAAATCGAACGCTGGTATGGTGCTAGGTTTTTGACAAAAATTCCTTAAATTTTCATTATTTACACAAATACTATTGTAGCTTGGCAGAAAATTGATTTCGTTTTGTTAAATTTTAAAAAAGTTATTTACTTTTGAGCTGGAAGCAGAATCCCTGGCAGTGGTGAAAAAAAGAAGTGTAACTGCATGCTAAATATGGGGCACTATAGGGTTTCATACCAGAGTTTTTTCGAAGTTAAAAAAAAGATTGACAGGTAGGAGCAATCATGCGGCGTTTTCAGACTCCATTTGAACTCTTTTAGTAAATTAAGGATTTGCATTTTCTTTTTTTTGAAAAAGCTAGCATTTGCCGAATGAACGACCGAACTTCATGAAAAAAAAAACTGGTAGTCATGTACCTGCAAATCGATGCGGCCCTATAACGCAACATCCTCACCCCAACCGATGCCTATTCTGCCGCATGCCGGAAGAAACCAAAGCATGACCAATATGAGCCCAAGTATTTGGTTGCAGCGCAGGAATTATTTCCCCCTATTAGCGACTCGCGAGTTTAGTGCAAAAACGCATGATCGCACCGTCAAGCCTGGTGCGTCCCAGCCCGGGTTTTTTGCTAATTTGACAAAGCCACCTGCTTCATTTTGTTATGGATTGGCAGTACTCGGAATCAGTACCGGGACAACAAACTGAGCAAGGTCGCAAGACTTGTCAAGCCAATCCTTCATTGCAGTTGTTCAAGTTGGCGCAGCAGCTGTTGCAATACTGACGTCTGAAGTGGCAGTGCAGGGGGTATTTTGGGGCACAATGAAGCAGTCTTAGTATTTTTGAAATAAATAGCAGAAAAGTTTCATTTTTTCTTCTCTAGTGGTTTACCTTGCTATAATTTGATCTTTGCGCACTTTTACGCTAGGCAGCGCTTTGTCATCACTCACCGAACGAGCTGGAAAACTGCATAATAATGAATGAGCGGATGGGCAAGATATCGACATAAAGGGCTGAAACATTGAAATGCCACTAGTTCCCTGCAAAAAACGGATTATCTGTTGTTATCTGAAAAAGAAAATATTTGTCTTCGCTGTTCCTTTCCTGCTCAATTAGGCGGTGCAAGCGGCAAATCAAATAGGCCAATAGGAGGACTCTAAAATAAATACCGATACTGAGGCAGTAACATTAAACTTTTGTACATTATATTTCAGATTGTCGCATCCCAGATCCCGGACGATTCGTATGCTATGGCAATGGATTGGATTGGAAGAAATATGTATGTGGCAAATAAAATCTCGCAAACTATTGAGGTTGTGCGAACCAAAGATATTCAGGTGATCTCGTGCGCTTTTTAAGAAAAGCTTTCTTGCTGGATTTTAAATTTTTCAAAAACACAACCTGTTGCTTTACAGCAATTAAAAGCCGATAGTATTCCCTAGCTTGCGCTTGAAAATTAAAATTTAAGTTAATTT